CAAATTGAGATAGAAGGCTAAAATTTTGCACACATGTATATTTTGCCAGTAGGCAGGTTAAATTCGTAAATGGGCTATGTAGGTCCAGGTTATCATATAGCCCCCATATAACGGTACCTCCCGATATTCGGCATTTTGATGATTTTAGCGACATTATTTACCGGAAGTGTTTCAAATTTGGTATTTAAAGTTCATAATGGATACTAAATCCTAAGTCAAAAAATGAGCCATGCAGGTCGACGTCTTCGTAAAGCCCCCATGTAACGGTACATCCCGATATTCTGTATTTTGAGGATTTTAGCGACATTATTTACCAGGTTTGTTTCAAATTTCGCATGTGAAGTTCGTAATGGATACTTCAGCCCATGCCAGAAAATTGTCTGTGTTGGTCCACGTCTTCGTATAGGCATTCGGTATTGTTAAGATTTTAACAAAATTGTTAACGGATTTTATTTTTTGTTTGGAAATTGCCAAATTTGTACCAAATGATGGAACTTACAGCTTTTTTACTTGTTTTACGATCACAATGTAATACAAATGTAAATGCTATGATGTGAAATACAAACCCTGGCTTGGCCGGAAAATTCCTGCGTTCCAGAAGATTCCAGGATTTTTTCATGTGGATGATTTTTTGGCCACATTTATCAATCGTTGTTTTGGTTTATTTGCTGGTTGTAATTTTCTACAAACTCTATCTGACAAATACTTCTGTTGTTTATTGTACAATTCAAATACCTTATGTATGTATTTGCTTCCGATTGACTTTTACCCTCTAGATGATCATTACGATACGCAAACCGTGACAGATAAAATTAACCTTAATTTTGTTTATTTTTCAAACAGCCCATTTCAAAGAACATCCAGCAAACCTAAAATTTATCTTATCTCTTCTTGATGTTGATTCACGTTTCATGAGATACCACCGAAAAAAATCCCCCTCCAAAAAAATAGAACTATAAACAAATCAGTGACGCAGCTATAGACGTAAATTGAAACATCTGCCAAAAAATGGTATTAATTAAAATGCTCAGTTAACTTTATTGGTAGAAAGAAAAAAATACAAAAAAATTCACATAGGAACAGACACATGCAAACATTTATGGTTGAGTATATTATCTATGTATGTGTCTATACAGTGAATCAGTTCAGTAGCGAGAAATAAAAACACTTAAATATATATTTCAGTGAGTGTGTGAGAAGAAGAATAAAACAAAAATAACAAATTGTATAAAATATGAATACAATTAACAACTTAAAAAGTATAAATACAAATACATACATGCCTGCCTGCACACACAAAGAGTGATATGGGGCGAGTGAGAGAGTGGATTATTTATATGAGTGTTGCTTAGTGCTAGTGATAAACAATGCACATGCCAGTCTATGAGTGTATCCTGAGTGTGTGTGTGAGTGTCTGTTATTTTGTTGCTTTCCTTTGTATGTTGCAATTGTATATCTGCGAGAGAGTGTGTGTATGTGCAAGTGTATTGTGTTTAATTAAAATTTACAATTATTTCGAGTTTATTAAAGCTAAAAATGGCCAAGTGAGCGAGTGAATAAAACAATTTTGTTCAAAATTGCAGTTCATAAAGCGTTTGCGAGAAAAAACTTCAGTTTTGTGAAAAAGATAATTCATTGCATTTTTAGTTAGTAGTTTTTTTTCATTTCCATTGCAGTGAGTAGTTAGATGCGTTTAAAAGCATTTTGAAATTGAAAAAAAAAAAATTATACATTTTGAGATTTGTTTTTTTTTTTTTTTTTGTTATTTATTTATCATGTAGCAGCAGCAACTCTTGAAATAGAAAATAAAGCATTAAAATAGACACAAAGTATGGTAATTGAAACAAGTTTATTTTTATGGTCATCAATTCATTTTTCGGGTTTTTTGTTTGATTTTTATTTGGGTTGTTGTTTTATGAATTCGTTTAATTTAGCAATAGCTGTGTCGTGAGAGAGAGCCAATCAGTCGTATTCATGATTGTGGGCTTGTAGTGTTTGTCCATTTAATTTAGAATTGAAAATATTCAAAATGTTGATTATTTAGGTGGAAAATTTTTGCATTTCTAACAAAATTTTCAATTCTCCGCCACAAAAAAGAATCAAATGTTTCCGTAAATTATTCCGAATATTCAATCTTTTGCAAAGAACAACTGACATATCGGTATACGCTCTAAGTAAATAAATATTTTCTATTTGCTTTGAGGAAAATGCCATTGTAAAAATAATAGGTTGTTAATCATATTTTTAATGAGTTTTTTTCCCGAGTAATTGCAGTTCTTTTTTTTTAGCTGGGACCTTAAAATTCTTTAATATTTCAAATATTTTAGAAATCTTCAACTGCTTAGCTATCTCGCCAAGAGATCAGCGGTAGCTAATTTAAACATAGACATATTGTAATACAGATAATCTCTGGAAATATACAAATACAGTCTGGCACATGAAACTTTCTGTAACAACTTTAAAACATTTCAGGTTGATATTTTTGCTAGATTTATTGGTGAGACTCTAAATATTATTTATAGAGAATATCACTCTAAAAAATCTTATCATATTTCTGGGACTTACCAGAAGAATTGGAGGAAAGGATTACTACACCTTCGAACTACGATTTTAAAACATTTTTCTAGTTTAGTTCCAATTTCATATGCGATTCTGATTTGTTATCTGTCTATTTATATATTAAGACGTGAAATATGCGAAGATAGGAAAAAATCGATTAATTACACTGTGTAAAAATTGTTGGGCCATGACTTTGGGGGTGGGTAATTCCAAATGGAGGTGATAGCATTCGGTTAGTAGATCAAAATCCCAAAAGGGTTTTGGGTTCCCAGGCCAAATGGATGCTTTTTGAATTTTCTACTATCCCAGAGAATATTGGTCGGGAGCTTGGACCTGGGAGATACTGGTATATGCGCTCTGTACCAAATAATGTATCGATGTTGAAATTTTCCTGTAAGATGGTTCTCTACCCCAAAGTAGCCTAAAGTTTTAGTAAAATTTATTGGAAAAGTTGGTCGAGACCCTCGAAATAGGTAAAATTAAGAGGCACCTTATATGGGCGCTACTCCGAAAAATTTACCTACACTGAACATTTTCTGCGAAGAAGTTTTTTATACCCTTAAGAATCAAGATGCCAAATAAGGGCCAAAACGAACGAAAAACTAAGTCAAAACACCTGAAATAACACAAATCAGGGCATACCTTCATATAAGGGTTACACCAAAATGCGGGCCTATATTGGTAATTGTTTTTTCAATAATGGTTTTTTCTTTCTAAGAACTCAAATTATAAAATGTTGTCCGAATTACTGCTAAAATGTATGTCTAAAATGTAAAAAAACCTAAAATCGGGGTATACCCTTATATGGGGGCTATGCCAAAAGGTGGACAGCTATGACCCATATTTTGTACAAATGATTCTATATGTATCTTAAATTTTTCGAGGTATAGAGTCAAGGCATAGCGGGTAAACGATTATTTACAAGTTTCACCCCTTTTTAGAGAGGTACCAAGAGGGGTTGGGAAATATTGTCCATTTTTGAGCTTGATCTACGACTACTACGATGTTCAGAGCTTGGACTAAATCAAATTTTCAAAATGACTTGCAAATGGACCAAATTCTTCAAAAATCATCTAAAACACCAGAAAAGGCAAATGTTATCGAGTTTTTAGATATAATTTCATCTGACGATATTTTCGGAATTTACGGAATGGTCTACTACTTACATTTCGTCTCCAAAATCTGAACAACAAAATTCTCTTGAGTAACAATTTCCCATTTACAATATTTTGTTATCTATTTTTGGATCTAATCTAAGTCCTATACACCCATTACGATTACGATGAAGTATCATCCAAATCCGACCGTTTTTAGAAAATGTGAATTTTGTGGGGATGGTAACGGCGGAGAAAAAATCCCATATTTTTTGTAATATCAACCCATATAGTGTTGAATTCTACCAAATTAGGCCTGAAAATATGTATGCCAAATTTGATCGAAATCGGTTTAGATATAGCTATAGCTCCCATATATATTGTTCATCCGATTTGTTATATTTGTTCTCCGCAGCCGTAATATGCACTCGTTAGTAACGATATTAGGCGAAATATATCTCAGCTCAGAAATTCCTTTGCCAAATTTTATTGAGATCGGTTCAGATTTGGATAAAGCTCCTATATATATTTTCCTCCGGTTTGCCTTTTATTGTGCACCAAACGTGTAATATCAGCCCAAATATTATGGAATTTTACACATACTACCAAATTAGGCCTGAAAATATGTATGCCAAATTTGATCGAAATCGGTTTAGATATAGCTCCCATATATATTGTTTATCCGATTTGTTACATTTTTTCTCCGCAGCCGTATTATGCACTCGGTAGTACCGATATTAGGCGAAATATATCAAATAAAGCTCAGAAATACCTTTGCCAAATTTTATCGAGATCGGTTCAGATTTAGATATAGCTCCCATATATATCTTCATCCGATTTGTCTTTTATTGTGAACCAAACGTGTAAATTTTATCCAAATGGGATGGAATTTGGCACTTACGACCAAATTGGGTCTAGAAACAAGTATGTCAAATTTGGTGAAAATCCGTTCAGATATATCTATAGCTCCCATATATATTGTACATCCGCTTTGTTATGGTGTTTTCCATAGCCATAATATGCACACCATGACAACGACATTCGGGGAAATATATCACATACAGCTCAAAAATACCTTTACCAAATTTTATCGAGATCGGTTCAGATTTTAATATAGCTCCCATGTATATATCTTTATCCGATTTCAAGTTAATTGTGCACATACAAGCCCGAACTTTTGAGTAAATAGATAACCTCTGAAAACTATATTTTTAAGAATTCTTCTAGATATGCCTTTTTTCCGGAATAATGGGAAAAGATGTTAAAGAAAATATTCAAAAATATATATTTTATTTTATACAAGGTTATATTTGTTTCAATTGCCATAATATTTAATTTAAAGATATTCTACAAATGTTTTATTTTCCCTTGTTACAAAATCCTTTATTTTCATTTTTCAAGAGTTGCATTAACATAGCTCTTTCTCTCCCCCTTGGCTTTTATTTCAAAGCCATTTTCGCATTATGAACTGCAATGCAATATTACTTTTGCTGGCCATTACAACCTACGGCCTACCAGAAATAAATGGCTATAAACATACATTAATGCTCCTGGGATATAATATGCACATCGTTCTCCCTCTCTTTGAGAGTTTTCCAAGGGAAAGTAGTGGTTTGCCCCCTTTGCTTTTTATTACCTTTTATGGTAACCATTTACATTTCTTTGTTGCTGCAGGATGTGTTGGTTGGAGGATGCGTTTCATGGTATTTATTGTCTTATTTTATGCCATTCCACGGTGCTTTAGTTATTTGCTTTTGTTTTCTTTGTTTTTTGCCTTTTAATAATAGTCGGTACATTGCATATATCTACGCCATTTTTCCCAATTAGCACAGCCAACAATTTCACCATCGCCAACATCTGGTGCCGCATAATCGTCATCATCACGACGACCGCCGGATACATGGACATGCACGAAACCTTTACCTTGGCCACAATTAAGCAGCATCGGCTCCATGGCCTCTTGTAGGCAGATATAAAACTTATTCGGATTCATTGCCTCCCAGGGCTGTTGCATATGGTCGCTATCGCAGGTGTGCACCTGTTCCCTGGCCTGCTGGGCCACGCAGGCTGGCCACTGTTCGTAGGGTATACAGCCAGCATAGCCTAGGCCATTGAAATAGCCCCGACCATCGGGACAGTGCAGGCGTATGGGTTGTTTTCGTTCCATATCGCAGAGGTAGTATATATTTGGATCAACATCTCCCCATGTGCTGGTTAAGGATTTACAATTGCCCACCTCGGCTTGGCTGAGGGGCTGCACAGCACTGCTGCTGGTGCCGTCGATATCAATGGCCGGGTGAGTTATGTTATTTGTTTTTTGGAGGGACATGGTGAAGGATGTGGTGGTGCCACTGCTGCCGGTGGTGGCGGCGGAGATGGTAGTGGCAACAACGTCCTTGCCACCATGGTCCTTATGGCTGAATATTGAAGTTACGGGTTGTTGTTTCTGTGGTGCCGATGTTTTCGATGATTGTTCGGCTATTATGGGATTTCGGCGGGTATTGTTGTCAAGTGTTGCCAACATGGTCGTTGTTGCTGCAACTCCAAATCTCCATGGCTCTTCCTTGACCATTGCCGGGGTTGGCACTGCTGATGTATTAACGGAAACTACGGCATTCATAAAAATCATGATTACTGTGAGGAGGGTATAAAAAATCCATGGATCTTGTCCTGCCGCTACTGCTGCTGGCCGGCAGCTGTATTTGTGGTTTGTCCCGATTTTTTGTTTAAATTTCATTTTATTTTTTTTTGCTGAGAGGATTTTGTTAAATATATATTTTTTCGCTTTTTTTGTTAATTTGACTGAATTTTCCAGTCAACGGATTTTGTGTACGTGTGAGTGTTTTTTTATTTTGCAAATAAATAAAAATATTTATATTCAATTTTTTACGCCTTTGTCCTGGTCACAGCAATTTCCGTAAGGACTTTTTTATCCGATCAATATTTTTCTCTTTAATTTTTATTTTTCAGCTTCGCTCGCTGTTGTTGTTATTTGAATTCGTTTGCTTTGTATGTTGTCATAAATAAATTGTTAATAAATTTATAGCCAAAGCGGAGAATATTTGAATTTTTATCACAATTTTCTTGCTCTTTTGCCGGCACGAGTATCGATTTTTTGCTTTCGTATTTTTTTTTCACAATTCCCGATTATTTGCTTTTTCTTTGCACTTTTGTCTATTTGTCAGCTTATTGTCTGTCTGACTATCTGTAACGGCGTACGGTCATCGTTTGTTAGTAACTGTCATTGCTGTCAGTCATTTTTATATGCCCGGCTGTGCAAAACGAAAAACGAACGCAAAAAGACGAGTAATTTGTGGCTTTTTGATTGCTCGCAAAATAAAAAAAAAAAAAAATGTCAAGTGGTGTGGGACGTTGGGGGATTTTTCAACACCCTTTGCCCTATTGCTGGCCATATTGACACTGCAATGTTGGCCAAATTGTCGTCGTTACGATTCATTGTCTTTTTTTGCTTCAATTTTCGTCGTTTCATTTTTAACGCTGATTGCTATCGCTGATAATTGATGACGTTGTAAATATATTTTTATATTTGTTGACCCTACAATTTTCCTTTTTTGTTCGGCCACATGAACACCTCGAGGTTGTGAGTGTAGAGGTAGATATTTAAAATTTTAAAGTAACTTGTTGAGTGATTTTTATGGTATATGATATTTCATCATGTCGTTTATAATATTGCCAAATTGGAGAGGATACAAGCTTTAGAAAAGAAAAGAATTTCGGAACTCAGGTATAGTAAAAAATCTCTGGGTTTTCCAGAGATAGGTATTGTCACCCTGATTCCGGCAAAGTAGTTTTTTCTTGGGGGACGGATATTTTATCCGAAACCGGGTCCAGAACCTAATTGAATTCGGATGTACTTAACCGATGGTATAGTAAAAAATCTCGGATTTTTTCCAGAGGTAGATATTTGCACCCTGATTCCGGGAAAGTATTTTTTTCTTGGGGGACGGATATTTGATCCGAAACCGGGTCCAGAACCTAATTGGATTCGGATAAACTTACCCGGTATGAACAATATAATTATCTTTTGAAAATACCTATTTAACAAGTGGTCACATTATGGGATTATTTACGATTCGGCAGTCGTAAGGGCCATTATGGAAGTCCATAAAATACAGGGTGAGAAACTGCAACAAAGTCAAACGCCATAATTTTTACATTTTTTTAATTTATTGAATGAAAGGAAAAAAATGTCGGAAATAGCATAAAATTTTAGCATAGTTTTAAATTTGCTCGAATTGGTCACCTTTGGCACAAATTATGGCCTTCAAACGGACAATGAAACCGTCACACGCTGCCCGAATATTGCTCTGCGCTATTTTGGCCCATTCCCGGCGAAGCGCTTGTTTGAGGTGATCGACACTTTGGTATTTTTAAGTGCCAACCTTGCTTTCCAAAATACTCCAGACACAATAGTCCAACGGATTGGTATCCGGAGATGTTGGTGGTCATTGTGCGCTGGAAATTGAAGCGAGGAAACTCATTTTGTAACCTTTCTTGGGTGGCGCGTGCAGAGTGCACTGGTGCTGAGTCCTGTTGGAATGTCCAAGGTCTGTGGTCAAAATGTTTGCGTGCCCACGGCTTTAGTACACCCTCCAGAATATTTTCGCCACAATATTCAGCATTTATTCTGATGCCTGGTCGATTTATACGAGCGGAGAGCGACCATCGGCTCTTATGGCGACCCACACCATCACCATGGCTGGCGCTTGAGTTCTGGTGGCCAACCGAAGGTGCACATTTTCAGCTGACCTCTTTGGCAAGTAAGCACGATCATTTTTTTTGTTTACAAACTTCTGGACAATGTTTTGTCATCGGATAAAACCGGCAAATTCGCCAGTTCACCACTTTCCGCCAAGCGAAGCAACTCTTTAGCTCTTTTGAGTCTATTCTTTTTCTGTTGTGGTGTAAGTTCTTGCACTTTTTGGAATTTCAATGGCTTTAACCCGAGTTCATTTGTTATATGTGGAGGTACCTATATAGACAATTATCTTCCAAGGGTTAAAGTACTCATAAATAACTCCTTGTAAAAGTTCATATTAAATGATCAAAATACCGTATATCGGGGGGTACCGTCGTATGGGGGTTATATGATATCATGAACCGATATAGCCCATTTTCGAACATAACCTGACTGCAGGAAAAATACCTGTGCAAATTTTTAGCATCCTATCCTAATTTATTTTGACTCTAGCATGGGCTGATATTTAACATAGTCTTAGAATTTCACGCTGGCCAAGAATATATATACTTATTTATGTCTAAAGTTATATTATTTATATAAATACCAAATTTGAAACATTTCCGCTGAATAATGTCGCTTAAGTCACCAAAATACCGAAAATAGGGGGAAAAAAAAGTCATTATATACATTTGAGTAAAATTTTATCAACCTATTTCATTTGGTTCGGAAGCTAGAGAGATTTTCACAGACGGATAGACGGACGGACATCGCTAAATCGACATAGATGTTTACGCTGAATCAAGAATATTTGTGAGGTATAAAATGTATATTTCGAGGTGTTACAAACGGTATGACAAACTTAATATACCCTCCATACTATGGTGGAGGGTATAAAAAATATCTTAGTAGTATAAAAACTCGAGTAGCGTAAAAATAGAATTCGAGTAAAGCGTTAAAGCGAACTAGCATAAATGAACCACGCGATATGGATCTAACATAATCTCGAAATTATGCTACAAAGATCTCAAAATTTATTACACTATTTAGCACATTTTTGTAGGTCATATCCAATCGACTTGTCGAGATAAGTTGTATAGTATAATGAAAACGTAACAAATATATCGGTCTATTTGATAAAATATGAGATATATTTATTGGATACAGACCATTTTTAAGTACATTTGTACTGATTTTTCTAGAATGGTACTTGTTTTGTATTCTCTTACTAATACAGGCTGTGTTACCAAAAATATTTATTTAAATAATTAACTTAGGAACACCTCATTTCCAATTTCCTGTATTTTTTTTGGTTGATATCTATTTTAGTGTCATCATTAGTATATGATTAATAACGGAAATGAATTCATAATTCCGTCCGATTAAATTAAGTGTATCACAAACTTCGGTCAGCCGAACTTGACATTGTTCCTACTTTTTTTGGATTGTTTTGACGATAAGACCAACTTTGGTATCCACATCATTTTTAATTTATCTCTGCATTTGCTTTGTTTTATTTTTGTGGAGTGTTATTTCTTGGTAGAATAGCGTTGAGATTAGATTAAACGTAATCGAAAATTGGAGAAAATAAATTGTCTATTTAATAGAGGCGTATGAATACTCGTGCCCATGAAACATGGGTGAAATTATTTGTACTCTATATTTAGCATGATTAAATAATGAAATATTATTTTTAAAGCATTACTACTGCAATGATTGCTTGTTTTGTTTTTTGGGGGGTAACACAGGGCTGCAATATTTTTTGGGGCGTATAAAAATTTGAAAAGACCGGAGTAAAGAGTACTACAACATATTTAAGAGATATCTAAAATGGATACAGGTTGTAACGTATCAGTCGTTTTCACTCCGACTCCGGCTATGACCATTTAAACTATGTAGGATTACCACATAGTTTTAAACTATGTAGGATCATTTAAAAAGTAAATGGCAAAATATTTTTGGCATGGCTGGATGGAAAAATGTTACATGTTCGTTTTTAAAAATGTAAAATTTTGACCCTTTATGAGGTATGCATCCCATCCCATCCCTGCATCCCAAGATTTCATTCAACCGTTTACCCATCAAACCAATCAACATATCAAACAACGTGGATTTTTTAAAGAATAATTTTTCAGGACCAACAGACCAATCAACGTAGACTATTTAAAGAATGTTTTTCCAGGACCAATAAATGTAGATATTTTAAAAAATAATTTTCAGGACCAACTGACCAACAAACGTGGATAAAAAAAATTGTTTTCCAGGACTAACAAACGTGGATTTTTAACAAAAAAGTGTACCAGGACCAACTGACCAAAAAAACGTGAATTAAAAAAAAAATATTTTTTCAGGACCAGAAGACCAAAAAACGTGAATTTAAAAAAAGAAAATATTTGTTCAGGACCAACAGACTAACAAACGTGTTTTTTAAGTGTTTTCCAGGACCAACCAACGTGCATTTTTTAAAAAAATAGTTGCCAGGATTTAAGATTATAGATTTACCTGATCGCTGAATAGTAACGCCGTACCAGGTATGGACTTTATCGACATCTTTCTTAGCGTTTTGTTTTTCAAAGTATTGAACCCTATGTTGGGGAGGTTACAGAAGAAATGGTCCGATGTCTACCAACTTTATAACAGATATTGTGTTGATGGAAATATTGAGATGTACCAAGTCTGAATGTAATCGGATGTTAATTTAGCGTTTTATGAGCTTCATGAATATTTCAGCCTTTGTTGGGGAAGTACCAGAAGGAGTGGACCGATATATCCCATCTTCACAACAGATCTTGTGTTAGTAGAAGTAATGGCATGTGTGAAATATAAATTTAACCTGGTGCTTATTTCGGATTTTATAAACGTTTTGGTTATTCTAAACTTTAACCCTTTGTGGGGAAGGTACCAGAAGGAATGGTCCGATCTCTACCGTCTTTATAACAGATCCTGTGTTGATAGAAATATTCAAATGTGCCAAGTCTAAATGGAATAGGATATTAATTTCGCTTTTTATGAGCTTAATGGATATTCATAATTTCGGGCTTTTGTGGGGGAGGTACCAGAAGGAGTGGACCGATATATTCCATCTTAACACCAGATCATGGGTTTATAAAAATATTGGGATGTGTGAAATTTTAAGGCAATCGGACTCTTTCAACACACTTTTTAAGAGTTATTATTTTTCAAAACTTTGAGGGAGGTTCTTGATGGAGTGGACCGATATTATCGGTTCTTGTACCTGACCTAGAATTGATACAAATATTAGGATTTGCAAAGTTGGAGCTAAATCAGTTTATCTTTTCTCTTTCTGTGCGGAACATAAGGTATCAGAAGGAGTGGACCGATGTATACCATCTTAATACCAGACCTTGAAGAAAATCGGACGCTTACATCATATTTTATAAAAGTTTTAATTAATCAAAATGTTGACTCTTTTTGGGGAGGTACTTGATGGAGTGGACCGATAATGTTCATTTTCGCACCTATCTTGGCACAGACGCAAATATTAGGATTTGCAAAGTTGGAGCAAGATCGGATTAT